GGAGACAGGGTTTCTCTGCGTAGCTTTGCGCCTTTCCTGGAGCTCACTTGGTAGCCCAGGCTGGCCTCGAACTCACAGAGATCTGCCTGGCTCTGCCTCCCGAGTACTGGGATTAAAGGCGTGCGCCACCACCGCCCGGCTATATCTGGTTTTTAAAATAAACCTCTTTTCAATATAACAGCCTTGTCAGTGATTTTTTTTTTTTTTTTGATGAATCATTTGTTTTTCAGTGACTAGAAAAGGAGTTGCCAGAAAAATTCATTGCTGTCCTTAAGAGCCTATCACCCTACTAAGCTCTTTTTAGGGAAACCAGAACAGACTTTATATAGTTTAGAAATATTGACAAAAATATGTATGCTGGAGAGATGACTTGGTGGTTAAGAGTTTTTGCTGCTCTTTCAGAAGACCAGAGTCTGGTTCCCAGCACCCACATCAGGCTGCTCACAGCCATGTGGAATTCCACTTTCAAGGAATCTTATGCTCTCTTCTGGCTTTTGTGGGCACCCTCATACATGTGGCACACACTCGCATAAATTAAAAAAAAAAAAGAAAGAAAGAAAAAGAGAAGTGCTCAATTATGAATAGAGGCAGAGGCTAGCCTTAGTAGGACCTGGTGACAGTCTCTTGTTGCTAATACCAGGAGTTGTGTGTGTTTAGTCATTTTGCCTGGTTACTCTGTCAGGCAGGCCTGGATTATGCTGGGTTGGTGGGAAGATAACCCTGTTGTAGGGTACTGTTGTGTCTATTGGGAGCTATCCTTGCCCTTTATCCAACCATTGTCCTCCAGGGCCATGTATGCCCTCTCTGGGTTTAAAAGGGATGGAGTTAGGAAAGTCCCAGACATGTCTTACGTGAGGCATGTGTCTGCTGTTGAGGCATGAGACATCCTGCTGTGCTGCCTTCTTTGCTGATGCTGTAAAGCCTCATTCTTGGACATCCTTACTTGGGAGGCTACACTGTTAGAAGTGCTCTCCTAACTTTAACAAACTTTGCATGCTCGTTTTTCTTCCTCTGCAGTCAGATATGTATAGCCTGGGTGTGATCCTGCTCGAGCTCTTTCAGCCATTCGGGACAGAAATGGAGCGAGCAACAGTCTTAACAGGCGTAAGGACTGGTCGGATACCCGAATCCCTTAGTAAAAGGTGTCCGGTGCAAGCCAAGTATATCCAGCTCCTAACTGGGAGGAATGCATCACAGAGACCGTCTGCTCTTCAGCTGCTACAGAGTGAACTTTTCCAGACAACTGGAAATGTATGTAACATTTTCTTTTTTTAATAGTTACTGAACATTCACTTTGGGTTGGGTATGATCCCAAGAGCTTGCTTATTTATTTATCGACAGCGTCTCACACTATAGCCCAGGCTGACCTTGAACTCACAGCATTCCTGTCACAGCCTCTTGAGTGTGAGGATTGCAGATAATGAGCTATCAAATCAAAGAGCTTTAGATAAGCTTGTCTTTCAGTAGGCTCATAACTCTGAAGCTGACACTGCTAATCTCCCTTTCACAGATGAGAAAGTTAAGTAATTCATCCCACAAACAATGACAGATACTGTTACTCTGTGTAATATACTCCTTACTTAGAAATCTAGCTGTCCATCTTGAATCTCTGTTTACCCTTAGCCCTCAGGCTGTTCTGTATGATAGAAATTCCTTGATGGAAGCCTCCCCTGGACTGGTAAGATGGCTCAGCGGGTAAAGTACTTGGCAGGCAAGTCTGACACCCAAGTTGGCTTTCCTAGAACCCATGGAAGGCTAGAGAGAAGCTTGCCTCCCACCCCCCATAGATATGGTCCATGGGATGTGCACCTCCACCCAACCAAAAACACACACCGAATAATAAATAAAAATAAAACTCTGTCCTGTACTAGGGGCAGATTATTTCATACCACAACAGTACAGATCTTCAAACCAACCTTTGTTTCATGGTAGCCAGTGAAATCTTAACATTTCTTTTCATGCTGAGCAAAATATGAAACTCAAAATAGAATTTGTTCCAGTTGTGAATTAATTCCATTTCAGAAATAATTTGAGTTTGGGGGTTTATGGAAACAAAATAATTAAGCCTATACTGATAGTTCCCTAAGAATTTCAGGTACTGAATTAATACAAATAACATAGCCATATCCATAGTCCAGGTAAGCGATGATACACAGCCAAGTAGCTGTAGTATAGATTATATTATATTATATTATATTATATTATATTATATTATATTATATTATATTATATTATAGATTATATTATCTTTCTGTCCTCACCTTGCTATGTAAGGAGAAAGGTTTTATTTTTTCCTTTCTTACCTAATGTACTCCTTTTTTTTCCTTTTTCTGGAGCTGAGGACCGAACCCAGGGCCTTACCCTTGCTAGGCAAGCGCTCTACCACTGATCTAAATCCCCAACCCACCCATTGTACTCCATAGTAAAAAGGGCAGTGATTCTAAGCAGGAATGGACAATAGTGGTAGGGACGGCCCCTGCATATCTTTCAGCATGCCACGTCTGAAGCTGGCTTTCTCCTATCATATGGCGATGGTGCCAAGATAGTGCCTCCTCTACATGTGGAAACAGTAGAGGAGTCTTTTTTTTTTTTTTTGTCTCTAAAACCTAAGGTTTCATTAAAATTTGATACAAGATATATTTTTTAGCAAGCCTGGCCAGCCTTGACATTGCAACACAAGTTCTTTTTATGTTTGTTTTTTTCCTTTTTTGGTTTTTTTTGAGACAGGGTTTCTCTGTGTAGTTTTGGTGCCTGTCCTGCTCTGTAGACCAAGCTGGCCTCGAACTCACAGAGATCCACCTGGCTCTGCCTCCCAAGTGCTGGGAATAAAGGCTTGCGCCACCACTGCCAGGCACAACAGAAGTTCTTGTACAAAGTTTACACTTGAGAACCATGGAACCAAGTTACAAATGAATGTATGTGTGTACACATTTGTATGTGCATGTATGTATACACACACACTCGTTTTAACTAGGTTACAGTTCTGTGTTGGGCCCCATTCTAAGCTACCCCTAGCTTCATGTAGTCAGTCACATGTGGCCTGTGGGCCCTAGGTTGGTCCTGGATGCCTAGTGCTACTAAACTAGCAGCCAGCCCACCAACAGTCAATCTGCATTCGAGCAGTATGCAGTATTTGAAGAGCAGTACCCAAGTGTCAGAATTTCCAGGTATGGTCTCCAGGTCAGCAGAAGTACAGAAGAATGTACTGTGACTGTGAGAATATGATAGCATTCTCTGGCCTCTAATCCTCTCCATTCCTCTAACCTACTAACAAACTCTGGGAAGACAAGGAGTGGAGGGCTGCACTTTATGGATCCAGAAGTGATTCTGATTGGCACTAGCTTGTGAACCACTTACAGTGACTTTTTGAAAGCTAGCTAGGAGGCTAGGAAGGTGGTTGATTTATTAAGAAAGGTGCTTGCCTCAGAAACATCAAGGTTGGCAAAACAGGTCAGTGGATAGGACACATACTGCCAAGTCTGATAATCATTTCAGTCCTTGGAACACACATAGTGGAACTTCTGAACTCCACAAGTGCATCATGGTACATGTACACACCCACACACATATTCAAAAATAAATGTTAAGATCTAATTTCTAAATATATATATAATGAAATACCCAAGTTTGGTAGCATGCACCTGTAATCCCAATGATGTTGAGAGGTGCAAAGAGGCAGATCCCTGGAAATTCGTGAGCCAGCTATCTTGGCCTGGGTGGCAAATGAAGTTCCAGGTTAATGCCTTGTGAACTAGCGGATAGATGTACTACCACCAGGACTCACAGACTTTGAAAGAAGACACCTGGTGAGCTCCCATCATAGGCATCTGTTCATGGAGCACTTGCCAGATTGAAGCAGCACATAATTGTAGTCGATACTGTGGCAACTTGACATTTGACCCTTGCAGAGGTGGTGACTGGCGATATTCGGGCTGTGCTAGTTGCTGTTCAGGCACAGCCAGTTTGTATGAACATGTCAGAGGCCAGCCATTTTAATGGAGCTTAAAATGTTTTCTTTCTAGGTTAATCTCACATTGCAGATGAAGATAATAGAGCAAGAGAAGGAAATTGAAGAACTAAAGAGGCAACTCAGCCTCCTTTCCCAGGACAAAGGGCTGAAGGGATGAGAGGGAAAGTGGGGGCCTACCTGTGTAGCCTGAATTATGCTGCCCACCATGGGAAAGTGGACTTACACTCTTAAAATAGTCAACAGCAATGTAAATTTTCAACCCTTAGCTGGGGACAGATGGTGTTATTCCCAGTTGTACTTAGCAAACCTATGCAAAGATATAAAAGGACCCCCAGCTTCCTTTTCCTCAAGGAACCCTTTCATGACCCAAGACTGCACTAAATTGAGCCTGTTCCTCCTGCCCTCTCCAAGTTTTGATTCTTCAATTTCCTACTTAAATGTTACTGCCCACCCCTGAAACTTAAGGTAAGGTACCATTCCGTTACTTTCTTTAAGCTCTGCCTTTCTTTAAGCTCTGCCAATTGACCATCCTGTCTTCCAGAAGTTTCTACAGAAATCAGTGCTGCCCTCCCCCACAACTGCTTGTCCCCAGGCTGTCTGCCAGCTGGGCTACTGATACTGAGACAGCTGCAAGCCTTCTTTGGTCCTTGCATGCTGCTGCTGAGGCCAGTTACCAGACACTTGATCACTCCTTGGCTCAAAACTTCTATGGGCTATGCACGGTCTAGAAGGTCAGAGTTCAGCTTCTTAGCACCATCCCCAGCCTTTCTGTTCTCTCTCTCAACATGGCATCACCCTCAGCTTGCTCCTATCAAGCTTTGAACTCCTTGCCCTCAAGTGATCTGAGCAGCTGAGATGTCATGTTTTCTGCCTTTATCTTGCAGTGTACCATGATCCATTTCCTTTTTAAAGCCCTCAACTCCCTAAACCACCTGAGCATTCTTCAGCCAGCAGTCTCTGATGTCTTTAAGTGCCTGCCCCCTGGCTGGTAGTCAACTCAGTACATTGCACTTGATTTTACTGACTTGAATAAAATAAAATCCACAGACTGTATGTTTATTGATGCTCGACAAATGGCTTAGTGAAAAGATTGTGATTCTAGGACGAGTCCCTTTCCTGACAATAAACTCGAAGCCATATCATTTTTATATTGAACCCTGCAAGACAAGCTGCTAGAATTCACTTAAGGAGCTGGAGGGCAGTGCTGAAGGGGACCAGGTTCTCACAGGACTTCAGCCACCGCTGCACATTGGCGGGTGCTGTCCCACTGCCACCCCCCGTCTGCTGGAGCACAGACCACAGCACCACATCTGCCACGGTGAGCTCGTTCCCAACCAACCACGGGCTCTTCCCCAGAGCAGAGTTCATAGAGCGGAAGACGGCTGCTTTCTCTTTACTGCTTCCTTCTTTCAGCTGAAACATGGCAATATCCACCCAGCTGTCGATGAGGGTTAAGTTGACAGCGTTATGCTTCTGGCCAAACAGAGAGAACAAGAATCGTGCAATGTTCCCTTCTCCTTCGATGGGGCACATTGTCTGTACACTGAACTTCATCTGTGTCTTGGGCACTGGAAAGGGAAAAACACCATGTAGAGTCAAAGTCTTGTGTTATGTGGAAGGGGGAACTCATATGCATAAATTGATGGCAAGACAATTTTCAAGTGCATAGCCAACATCTGTAATATTCAGTAGATTAATATTCAAGAACCTTTAGAATTTAATTTTTGTTATTTTTGAGACAGGGTCTCAACTATGTATCCTTGGCTGCCCTGGGGCTTGTCATGTAGATCAGGCTGGCCTGGAACTTAGAGATCAGCCTGCTTCTGCCTCTTAAGTGCTGCAATTAAAGGAAGGCATACCCCACCACACCAGGCATTCAAGACTCTTTAAATGCAACCTACTCCCTTAAAAAAGTAACCGAGGACCAATGAGATGACTCAGTGGGTAAAGGCACCTGCCCCCAAGTCCAGTACTTATAGCAGTCCCCTGAATTCAGTCCCCAGGACTTAGGGCAGAAAGTATAACTTCTGCAGGACAACTTCTACTTGTCCTTGACCTCTACAAGCATGCCTCTTGTAACCAAACACAAATATGTTTAAAAAGAATTTAAAAGTAAACAAATTCCCCTTTCTGCTATTTTGTTTATGGTAGTCATCAAGCTAGATGGGACTTAAACCATCTATCTATTCCAACCCCTTGCCATGAAATTTGAACGCTACTGACCAGGAACCAGATGTTCCATTGCCCAGGGCAGCATCTCTCCTTTGGATGTGAATGAAGCTGAAGGTAGTTAAGATACCACTGGATGGCCAGGCATAGTGGCATTGTCTATAATTCTCTTTTTTTGGAAGATGAGACAAGAAAACCAAAGCCAGGTTTGAAGCTAGCTTGGACTCCTTTCTCAAAACAGGACGTATCACTGGATGGATGGCATTCATGTGCTTCTGCCCATATGAAGCTCAGGCGGGAGAGGCATTGCTCAGAGGATGATGAATAAATGATACCCTGCTGTTCTTGCAGGCCAAACAGAAAGATAGTGTTCCTTAATGACCTTTTAGAATGTCATGACCAGTGGGGATAGACACTCCTCCCGTGCTTTGCCAGGTTGCACAAGAGAACCCCTTCCTCCAATGCTCAGTTCCCTGAGAAACCCCAACCTCTCCAGAACACTTGAAGGTAATCTGGTGCCAAGACTTACCTCCCTCTGGAATGCCCCGCTAATCTGGCTAAACTTGGGAGAGGATTTCACCCAACAACAACAAATAGCTATAGTCATTGCTGTAGACTGTCCCACCCCTTTGCAGCCCAAGTAAGTTCAACCCAGGCCCACTATTTACCGTTCTTCCAAATCAAGGTGAAGCCCAGCTGATACTCGTGACGGGACTGTTTCCTAGCCTGCTCCCCAAAGCACTTGAGAAGATTCTCAGGTACATTCTTGACTGACGAATGTGTGTGCACAGTGGACAGGACCCTGTAGCGTTCACAGAGCAGCCTGTGCAGCACAAGCAGGGAGAGGGGCGGAGAGGCTGGGTTTGCGTTGATCACGATGTCTTTCAGCGCCCCATAATCCTGAGGAAAAGACCAAAACACTAAAGCAAACGAGCCATCTGGCCAGGTGCTCTGAAGGCAGGTGGCAGGTGAATGAGGCCAGCCTGGTCTACAGAGAGAGTTCAAGAACAGCAAGGGCTATACATAAAACCCTATCTTGAAACAAAAGTGCCATCTGTGTGCACAGATGTGCCAGGTGCTCCCCAAGAACTTTCCAGAGTCTAATTGAGTCAACTCCCACTTAAAGATGCTGCCCCACTTGACAGCTGGGAAAACTTGAGTCCTGAGGAGGCAAGCAGGTTATCCAAAGCCACTGAACTTGGTAGGAAGTGCAGCTGGACATAAGCTTGTAATTCAACACTTTCTAACGAGAAAGAGGATCAGGAATTTGAGACATTTAGCAATAAAATCTAGGGTCTAGGGCCAGCCTGAGCCACATGAGAACCTATCTCAAAAAAAAAAAAAAAGTGGGACGATAGCTCAGTCTATAAAGTGTTTGCCTCAAAACATAAGGACCCGAGTTCAATCTTCAAAACCCAGGTGCAAAGTGTGCTTTAGTCCCAGAGCTGAGGAGAGGACAAAGGCTTACCCTTGCAGCTCTGGCCAGCTGGCTCTAGGCTATTTGGTGAGCCCTAGGTCAGTGAGAGATCCTGTTTCAAAAGAAAACATGAGCATCGCCTGAGAAAATACCTCAGCTTGTTCTCTGGCCTTCACATGCACTTGCGCACATGTGCACATGAACCTGCACATATACAGAAAGGCACATGAGAGAGTGGGGTGTGGGCTACTTGTTCAGAGGCTTGACTTCATCCTGAGCACCATCCTGAGCACCATCCGCGCTGAAAAGCCTTCCAGTACATTAAGAAGTCAGTACCCTGGCTGTGCATGTTTCCTGACTCACCTTGGAGACTCGAGCTCTGGGGGCCTGGTCAGGTCTCAGTTGCTTCCTTACTGCATGATAATCCACAGGACAGATGAGGTAGGAGAAACAAACTAAGGCAGGGGTACCGAGGTTGCCAAAGCCCTAGATGAGTCACTATAAGACCCTTGTGCTTTTTAGGTCTTTACATTGTACTGTCAGAATTCTAGAGATTGCTAATGCAGGATCTTGGACAACTCTACTGCATCTTCAAGTAGCACCACCACTTAACAATTGAGACAGCCTTGCATATGGATTGACCCCCTAGGTAAGTTGAGTCCTATAAAATTCAATCATGAATGCTAGCTGATGCATTTATTTTTTGTAGTAGTAACAGCCACTGTTGACCTGTCTCTCCAGCCCCCCACAACTTATTCTTAATACAGCAAACTTAAGCAAAGTACATTTGAAGTGAGAGACTGGAACTGTTTTGTAGCAATGTATTTTGGTAGGGGTGGTGAGATTTTTTTTTCATTATACAGACTGAGCAAGTTGTATTTATATATTTAGGAACACACACCACTACCACTGATCACACGTTGAGCCCTTACCTAGCATCATGTATGAGGTACTAGGTTTGATCCTAGTATTTCGAGCCAGAGAGAGAAAATATGAAAATATAACTTAAAAATTGCATTTATCTATGTGTTTATTTCTGTGCATCTGGAGAATCAAACCCAGGCATTGTGTATGCCGGGCAATGGCTTTACTCACCTGCACCTGCCCCAGGCCCCAAATGGCTTTTACATGAACGGTGTCAAGAGTTAAGTTTCCCTCCTAAAAACAATCCACCCTTATATTTCTTTTTTCTTTTTTTTTTAAATGCTGAATGCCATTTATTGAGGCTTACAGCACAATGGGAGAACCCCGGAGGGCAGAAGTTCACTACTGATGTTTTACAATCTTGCATCTAAGCTGCTAACGCCCATTATGCAGGATACATAGACAAGGAACTTCCCTTAAGCATTCAGGAGGGTGGATCTTTATCTGTGTAGCTAGGGCATTTTCTCAGAAAGAGTTGAGGGCACCTCTGCTCTGCCTAGTGGCATCTAGAATGGGCTGAGATGCCCTCCCCCTCCAGGAATTAGAGGTTGCTGACACAGATGGGACTATGGGAAGCTGGGACTCCCTTCTCCGCCCTCTCCTGCCATCTCCTCACCGAAGATGAGGCTTTAGAGCTTCTTCACTCTTCACTCTGTAAATCTGACATGTGATCTTGGTGCAGTCATTCATTTCATTTATTATTTGTTTTTTTTGTTTTTTGTTGTTTTTTTTTTTTTAGCTTTATTTTATGTGGATTGGTGTGAGGGTGTCAGATCCCTTGGAATTGGAGTTATAGACAGCTGTGAGTTGCCATGTGGGTGCTGGGAATTGAACCCGGGTCCTCTGGAAGAGCAGTCAGTGCTCTTAACCACTGAGCCATCTCTCCAGCCCCTATTTGTTTTTTGAGGCAGGGTCTCCCTGTAGCTTGGAACTCATGATCCTCTTAACCCAGCCCCCAAGTGCTTGCGATCACAGGAGTGAGCCACCACAGCAGCTCTAGGTGCAGTCATTTAGAGGAAAAATAAAGAAAACAAGCTCTTTGTGTTACCTTTGTAAACTAGAAAGCCAGACCACCGGGACACAGGCATCTGGTTTCTCACCTTTCAAAGTGAACCTACCTTTCCAAGCACCAAATTCAAGTCCAGTGCATTTGTGGTTAAAGGTGTGGGCTCATCAGCTTGCAGGATGTTGGTTACATCCAAGTCCGCATCTGGAGTATGAATCATCTTTGAAAGGCCGTCAACTGCTGCCTTCAACTCATACAAGCGCTTTAAAATGTCATCTTGGCGGGATTCAAGGGCTTGCAAAGATGGCTCAGATGTTTCCTAAAGAAACCAACATCTGAGCAGTCACCATCTCTCACATCATAGAGCTCAGCTTAAATTAGATCACTTATCTTACTTCTACTTTGCCAACTAAACTTCCACCTTCTAAAAACACACCCTCAGACCAGTAAGATGGCTCAGTATATAAAGGTGCTTGCTGGCAATCCTGAAATTTGAGGTCTATCACACAGACCCACATGGTGGAAGGAGAGAACCAACTTCTGCAAGTTGTTCTCTGATCACACGGATGCCATAGTATCACCCTCCTCCCCACCAAAATAAATAAATGGATTTAAAAAAATAAAAATTCAGACTCCTTCCCTCCAGCAGTCCAAGGGGTCCTGCAATTGATCCATAATGCTCCGTAACAATAAAGAAACATGTTTGAACATGACTTTGAAATAGTCCTATTTGGGGCTGGAGAGCTGTCTCACAGTTAGGAGTACTTGCTGCTCTTCCAGAGGGTTGTTTGGTTTGCAACGCCTACATCAGGAGGCCCATCACTGACTGTTAGTAACTCCAGGTCTAAGCAATCTGACACCCTCTTCTGGTTTCCACAGGCACCTACACACACAGAATTCATTCACTCAGACATACACACATACACATATAAAAGAATAAAAATAAATCTTAAAAAAGGAGTTGACTTCCCACTTTAGGTAATCTAGATAAGAGAAGGGAAGAAAATGAAGACAAAACACTAGTCTTCCCCTAGCCCTTCATTATTTTTTTTTTAAACTTTGAGACAGGGTTTCACTATATAGACTGAACTGGCCTGGAACTCACAATCCCGTTTCAGTTTCCAGTGTGCAGGGATTATAGGTGTGTACCACCATGCCTAAAAGAAACCAAAACAAACTTTTTTAAAATAGAAGAAAGGTTTGCTATGTGTTGTCCAGGATGGCCTTGAACTTCTGGGCTCATGTGATCTTCCTACTTGGGCTTCTCATTGTACCCAGAATCCTTTATTCTCAATAACAGGCTAATTAAAAATACTTTGCTTAAGCCATAGTGGTGCACACCTGTAATTTCAGCATTTGGAGGTTGTGGCAGGAAGATCAGGAGTTTAAGGACAGCCTTAACTGTTGGCTGGCATGGACTTTATGAGACACTATCTCAACCACACATCCCCAAAGATTGCTTGAATGAGCACAGAAAAGATGAAGGAAGGACGATAGAAAAGAATTGATTTTTTTAAGATTTATTTTTATTTTTTTATGTATGGGTGTTGCTTGCATGTATGTCTGTGCACGCTTGTGCACCAGTGCCCACGGAGCCAGAAGAGAGTGGAATACCCTGGAACTAGAGTTACAGACAGTTCTAAGTTTCTTTCTTTTCTTTTCTTTCTTTTTAAAAGATTTATTTATTTATTTATTTATTTAATGTACATTGGAGTTTTGCCTGCATGTATGTCTGCATGAGGGTGTCAGAGCCCCTGGAACTGAAGTTACAGACAGTTGTGAACTGCCATATCAGTGCTGGGAATTGAACCCAGCTCCTTTGGAAGAGCAGCCAGTGCTGTTAAATGCTGAGCCCCATGTTCTAAGTTTCTTTATGGCTTCAGAGAACAAAACCCAGGCCCTCTCTGCAAGAGCAACAAGTGCTCTTAAGCTCTGAACCATTCCTCTAGCCCTGGAACTCAGGCTTTGAAGTATCCTTCAGTTTGGAGGCAGCTCCCTGGGGCAAGTGCTCCCTATGACAGGGGATCAAGTCCCAAATCATTTTAAAGGTAGCACTGGCATTCTCTTATTTGGTCATCTGGAGCATTCACTACTAAGATACGTAACTCACAATGAGGAAACACTTCATCCTTCATATCCATGCATCCTTTCTGCCTAGCTAACACAGTCTGGCATGCACTAAGAAACCAGTAATATTTGCTGATGTTAAGTAAGTGTCACACTACAGGCTCTATTTTTTTTAATTTACACATTTATTTATTGTGTATGCACACAAGTGTGGCAGTCAGAGGACAGCATAAGGACATTGGTTCTCTCTTTCCACCATGTGGCTTCTAGGGACCAAACTTAGGTGCCCAGGTATGGAGCCAAGAACTTCTGTCCATGGAGCCATCTCACTAGTATGCACACACGCACCATGCTCCATGTTCCACGCTCAGCACTCCAATCTCTTTTAACAGCTTGTAGTTGTAATAAGTGTGCGGTCTTACTTATTTTTACAAATAGCAATAGGAAGCCCTATCCCACCAGGGCCAGATTAGCAGCTGCTAGATCCAAAATTGAACCAACACATCCTGAAGCAAGTCTGAGGCAGGAACTGTGAGTGTAACGGGACTGTGATTTCTGAGTTCTAGTCCAGCTTGATCTAGGTTCTCCTGAGTAACACTGAAATGCTCAAGATCTGCTTTATCTCACTACTACCTCTGATGCTGGCCTGTTGTTTCCTTGATGAGAATAAATTGTGACCTGGTATCCACTGGTTTCATTTTCTGTATTTAAAAGCAGTCAATTCTTTGTGTGGCTCTGATTTCTAATTACTTGTCCATCCATGTTGTTACCCTCTGCTACAGGCATTGCTACAGCGGCAAGATGTGTATCATCTAAATCAGAAGTTTAGAGATGTTCCCGAAACTCTGAGCATGAGATAGCTGTTGTCCCCCTGCAATCAGAGTGGCTTTGTACCCCATGGTACACTCATAAGATTGGGTTCACTAGCACGGAAGGGGGAGGGCTTATGAGGCTTATGAGCAGGAGCACCCTCCCCTGAGGATATGCAAGCAGTTAATATTTGCTGGGTGCTTTCTCTAGTGTGTAGCTGCTTGTACACTGCCCACACACCTGTAAGCAACCTTATTAAACTCACTGTCGCACCAAGCTAGACTTTTGGTGGGATTCTTTGGTCTGGTTTTCCTTCTGCCCTGAGGCAATTAGACATTTGTTCAGCTCTCCCCAGGAAAGTCATACAATGCCAAAGTTTAAAGGAAGTAAGGCAGACTTAAAACGAGGCAGGGCTGGAGATGTATATAGCTCATTGGTAGTACTCACTTACCATGTGCCAGGGCCTGGATTCCATTTCAGGCACAAAAACAAAAACAAAAACAAAACAAACCCTGAAAAACCCAGATGGCCGAATGATGGTGACCACCCTACTCTGGGTTCTTGGTTGTTCCCTGGGAACACACAGTGAAGGTGCATTTGCCCATGCCTCTGTGACAGTCTCTAGCTGAAGGACCACTGAACCATGTCTGCTGATGTTTTCACAGCTCTGCAGTTAGACAACTGTTAATATCACTAGGTTTTGAGTTAACCACTTCTCTTCCAGTACAGACAAAATGAAGGATGACAAGTAACAAGAAAATTGACCCCACAGCATCTACTTACACATCTGTCCAAAAATGCCAGAATTTCTGTCTGCTGGAAATTTGGGCTGTGTGTGATCATTAAGAGTAGAAAATTCAAATAAGTCTTTAGAAAAGATCAAACAATAATGATAAAATAAGCATGGTAAGAGAATCATTTTGAATTAGGCAAAGTGGCACACACTTATAATCTCAGCCCTTGGGAGGTGGAGGCCAGAGAAGGAACTGAAGGTCATCTTTGGCTACATGAGTTCAAAGACAGCCCTGTCCAAAGGGCTGTCTGTTTCTGCTCCAATCCTTACAGCCAGGAAACATGAAAAAGGACCTCAACTTACTTAGAAATTGGAGAAATCCAAATTAAAACTACATTAGGATGGCTACATTATTCTGCTAGTGACAGCATAAACCGGTATAACCACTTTGAAAAACAGTTTATCCAAATAAAGTGGAGGACAGACCTGCCCACTAGACCAGGAATTCCTCTACAGCCTATTTATGTTAGCTGGTCTATAAATTCCAGTGCCCATGAGTGGGGAGGGGGGTAGGGTAGATAAATAAGTGGGGTGTAGCCAGGCAATATAAAGAAACACGATCACTGTCGTGGTTGCAACAAAAATGACTGAAAACCTTGTACAGTATGCCAGACAAGAGAACACATACTATACCCTTCTAGTGCATCAAGATCACGTACCTTAAGGACACATACTCAACAACCTAACTGCGAAAACCAACACATGACTACAGTAAAAGTCAGGACCTCTTATGGAAAAGTTGCAAATGGGAAGGATGGGTCACTAAAACTGTCAAACTGAGTTATAGCGACCCTGGGATCGCTCTGTGAATTCCTCGGAATGATCATTTTTTTTTGTGTTGTTCACTTTTCTGTGCAGCTGGCGGTCGCGACAGGAACCCACGGCAGCGCTGATCCAGGTGGGTTTTGTCGGACCCGGACTAAGGAGGGACCAGGGCCCTAGGGAGCCGCCGCAGCGCCGGCGCACTAGACTGAACGAGGAAGAGGACAGGGCGCGGCGTGGCCAGCGCCTGCGCACTAGGCAGGGGCCGCACGCTCCTACCTGCACGTGGCCCGCGTCGGTCGCGGGGCTGGCTGTCTTGCTGTGCACGTTGGGGAGCCGGTACATGCAGGTTGGAAGCTCTACACGCAGAGGGGCGCTGCCTCCATGATAGGACTTTACCTGGTACATCGGCATGGCGGGAACAAAGAAGGAAGGTGGCGGGCGAGGGACACAAACGCTCAGAGGCCGCCCAAGGCCACCTCAGACAGTAGCCGCCTTCTTCCCGACCCTGCTGCTGGCGTTCCGGAAAAAAAAAATGAAATCTGTGAGCCTTTATTGGCCGGGGCGTTCTGACGTCACCAACTCGACCTTTGAAGCAGCCAATCGGTAGTAAGGGGGTCTTGGCACACCTTCGCCACCCCTCCCGGAAGGGGCGGGGCTATATGTCAAACGCAGCCAATGGGGGCCCCAGGAGATGAGCGTGCACGAGAACAGCGGCGCGAACTCTCCCGCAGCTCCTGAGGCTGGAGGAGTGCTAAGTCCATGGAGCAAACCGAGGGCGCGAGGTGAGCCGGGCTTGCAGTCTCCCCTCCGGGTGCATTCTCCGAAGTTCCCGGTATTCGGCCTGCTGGAAGGGACCGGAAGTCGCTGAGGCGCGGGGCGAGTTCGCGGACTCAGAGCGGCGTTCCCCTCACCCTGGGCCTGGTTCCCTGTGAGGAAGCTGAAAGCCTCAGGAGATCCCGTGGCGTCCTCCGGCCACAGGCCGCGGACTTAAAACCGAGCATGAAAATAAATATCTGTAAACAGAATTCGGGTTTTGGGGTTTTGTTTTGTTTTTTGAATGTTTATAATTGAGAACTTG